TACCTTAAATTAGCATGTTACTAACGCGTAACGGACGACGTGCGCCACTATGTGGCGCACGCCAAAACGGGTCCGAGGCCGGCGTGCGCCACATGGTGACGCACGAAGTGGTCCCGGCACACAATTACGCTCACGCAGAAATGCTCTCGTCCGTTACGTGTTGAAGCCCTTACCTTTGGTGCTAGGAATAGGCAGTAAGGATGTTTGTCTGTCTGTCTTTTTGTAACCACTAGGCTAGCATGCTACGTAGACCCAAGAAAACAGTTGTATCATGGTCCCGGATGGGTAGGAAGTTACCCTTAGGGTGTTCACGGTCGGCTAAAAGCGGATACGGTAGTGGGCGGCGCCGGACCTTGTGGGCGGGGCCTGTATTATATAATCAGCACTGGAGACCACGATGATATGGCCTCCTCCAACTCCATTTTCTTCAAATTTTCTCTTCATTATTTGAGGTAAATGTTTGCAGTTGCCTGATCTGAGCTTCTTTGCTCTTACCTGAAGATGACACCATTCTTCACATCTGCACACCACGAGGCTTCATCTTCGTTCAGCAATGGTGCAATTTGTTATTTTCACTGGGATATCGATCTCACAGAGCGCTTTAATCATATCAAACAGTTGTATGGAATGGTAACCTTTTGCGGGTAATGAACTTTTGCTTTTGTACGGTTGATGAAGTATTTCGTTGTGGTAGTCGTTATTCTTCACAAAATGTGAAATTTATGTATATCTGAGATAAGAAAAGAAATTGTTATTTTTCAGTCTCCTCTTGTATGCATATCACAAATAAATAACTAGTCAAATGATTAAAGGACTTTTGTCTGTTCATCGATTTCTCGGTACAGGGAGACTAAAGAGAAAGAGAATTGAGAGGAGAATCAAGAGGAGGATGGCAGGTCAAGGAGGTCGTTCAAACTGATCTTCGCAAGCATGGCCTCTGCTCCCCGATGCATCACGGTTTTTAACCCATGGAAAGAGAGTGGAGTTGCCGTAAGCGGTTTCACGGAGGGCCTGATGTCGGTCCAGCCTTTCTCAACCCAAAGGTCGAGGGCTTCCTTGTCCCGGCTACAGCTTCACCATAATAACAGCACACAAAGTAATAACTACGCCTAAGTCGAGCCCCTTCTCTGGTGTCCCCTATACTACAAACCCTTACAGTAGTCTACAAGTTCGATTACTCGCGTCATTTGTAGCAATACCATCGGCTTCCTACAACGCCACTCTTCTGCGGGGCTTGTACATAGGTGCCAAGCCATCGCGTCGTCTTCCTTGTAGTCGCTCGGTGGTAAGCAGTAAGAGAGCTCTCTGCCGGCTACCTCGTGGCTGTCCGGCTTCCTCGCGTCGTCCAGTGCGGCAGGGGGCGACAGGCCCCGACTGCAGAGGCGGACCCAGGTGATGGATTACGACAAGTTTGAGTTGGGTTCCTTGTGGAAGTGGGGATGCTGAATAATGCCCCAGTGGCAAAAAAAGCAAAGAAATCCGTCAAGAACGCGCAAAATGGGACCCCTTTCTTTGCCCGTTGACCTCCGATAATGGACGAGCTAGCAACTAACTAAGGAGCCGCTTGCACGTGTTGAACAGATAGCCACCATCCTACCAACGAGTACCAAGCTTCGATTCAACATATTCCACGAAAAAGTATGAGAAAACTGCCGCTCCGATGGAACACCTTTTCAAAGGTAATCGGAGGATGCTGCTGCTAGGGGCGGACCACAAGCGAAGGCTCAGCTCAGAAAGGGTTGACAAGCCCAGCGCGCTGCAACTAGAGAATCTTAGGCTGCGAAAAGGACAGAGATTGTTTTCTCAGGCCCCTGGCTACTATGGACACCTCACAATTCACGTTAAAATGTTAACTAAGAGGCTTCGTGCTATGCAACCCTCCTCAATCGATTCCTCGTAGTCGATAACGTATCAG